GTTATGTTATGTTATAATATCATATGATACATTGCTCCATACGTGTGAGCCATTAGCGTAATGTTATTGTGTACGACGCGCATGTTCGTAAATGACATGTCAATAAATAATTATGATTCGATTAACAATAAAATTTAAACGATTTTTATTGTTGATGACAATACAACAGTATAACTGCTACCGATACTATAATAATATACATATTATTATATCATGTAAAAATGATGTACTAGCGTATTAGGTACTAGCAGCTACTGCAGTACTTCTTTGATATTGTCTTACGCACGTTGAAGTTGCGTTTATATTTTTACCGCCAAATAAAAAACATATTTATTAATGTATACAATTGTCATTTATGGAAGACTATTTTGTTATAAATTGATTTCGGAGTCATATTTTTTAGAAAGTCGTTTATTTGTAATCATGTTGATTTTTAGTAAATGTCCACTCTTTTATAAACATTACAAATACGTTTATTCAACAAAAAACAATTACTTTGAAAACTGAATAAACGGTAAAGTATGTATAAGATATTTGTTATTTACGCAAACATTATTGTTTACATGTATGAATGTGTGATACATGTTATCAGACAACCGACTTTTTAATTATTATTTGTAAGTTCGTTAACTATTATTCAGTTTGAGCTGCTCTTTCTGTGATTAAAACGAAATTTGTTTTTACATTAAACAAACATTTCAATAGTTTATATTTTTATAATTATGATGTTAAACTATGCCGTATGTGAAACCGCATTTCAAATCTCGCAATAAGTCTACATACATGCTCCATTCGACTTTTTTTTTTTATATATACTCTTATTTACGCTTTATTTCTTCATTCGTGATATCGTTACTGTGCGATTTGTGCAATTTTCCGTCGTAAATTATGTGCTCTCTATTGTAAAAAAGTAAATTGGAATTTCTTCCATGTTTGAATACGCTCGTGTGTTATCGTCATGAAGTATGTTTTTTAGGTTTATTAGCAGTGGCGTTCCTTTTTTCCTTTCATTATTGTTTCTTTCTCGTGGCGCGTTATTTTAAATACGACCGTCGCACAAGCATATACAAATATATATATATATCGACGGCAAAAGAGAGGGGGGAGAAGGATTGGCGGGTTTTAACACACGAAATGCATGGTGAGTGTTTTTTTTTTAGGGCTAAAATAAGAAAGGGGGTTTGGTAACAAATGAGAGGAATATAATAAGAAACGGACGGGCGGCGGAGAGGGGAAAAAAAGGGGAAGAGAAAGCAGTTCGGACCCGTGTGCGAGAAGCGGAATGAGAGGTGCTCGCGGGGTAGCGGAAAGACAATACACACACACACACACACACACACACCCTCGTCGACTTATAATTTGCCCGACCACCACTACCGTCCTCCGTCAGCACCGCCAGTCATCACAATACTTCACCCCGTGTACTTTTACTTTTTTTTTTTTTAATGTGAAAAAAAGATCAATATTATCATCTTTTTAAAGGCTACACGCACCCCCGTCCCCGTGCGCCACCATCCCGATTTTAAGAAATCGTTATAATCACGCTTTGCATAAGAGCCCCGGAGTGGATACGGAAGGACAAGGCGAGCAAGCGACGGCGGTGACGGTGTGTGGTTGCGTAGGGGAGAATTTATATTGATATTTACCATTATTAAAAACTAAAAACTCAACACCGAAGTACGTTATTCCGTTGAAGATGCGTGTATTGTAATATTATATTTTGTACTTACGGGCGACCACAATATTATTATTGTTATTATTTTGAAATTCGGAAAACCGCACCTGTCTTTCAATAACCGTGTCTAGTAGTCGTTTATTAAACATCGATAAGAATTTCAAAATTGTTTTTTTATCCAAGTTATGCGATTTAAGAGCGAAAGAGGTGAAATTGTATTTGTTTAATTGGTAAATAAGTTCAATCCCATAAAAAATCTACTTACGCGGCTTGATCATATTTTAAAGATAATAAAAACACACCGGTTTGATTTTTAATACTGAACCATTACTATAACCTAAAATATACATTTTTGAATTTATTGATTTAAAAATGGGCATGTAATTTAAATTTATTCATAATTAAAATTAAAAAAGTTTTTATTTACATTTGTCCCATTTGTTTACAATAAGCTACTCCACCTAACTATAATATATACTTATTTTACTGCGTTAATGACGTGTATTGTTTTAAAAAAATTCAATGTTAATCATCTTGTCTCTAATGTATGGTCGGCCAATTAGATGTGAGACCCAATACAGATATACTGGTATAATACATATATTGATACAATTATCAATTTTAAAATCCCTGAAGCTTAGAAATAATATTATTACTATCAATATTAACACGAGTTATAAACAAATACAATATACTATAAGTACACAAATAATTAACAAACACTATATCAAAGATTCGGTTATAACCGTAACTTGTGAAAATATATGGCTTTATTATATAAACAACATAAAGAAGGTCATAACACAGAAATTGTTGTAGGCAAGAAACTGCGAGGGGGAACCTTTTAAAATATTCAGTAGTGTGCATGTGGTGTTTATGCATTGGCAGTGTGTAATATAGAGTTTACATACTATGAAAATACGGTGACTTATATTTACTATGTACACCCTATAAAATATGCGTTCATTAATGATACCACCTTTCCAGCAAGATCCTAGTAGTAGTATCCATTATATAAAATTATAATTTCGTTACAACGTGTCATTATAAAACATTTTCCTAAAAATCAAGTTTAGTGATAGAAAAAAATACATAACAGTTATATAATATAAAAGTTATTTCTATGTTATGAAAAAGTTATAATAAAATGTGTTTCACTATATTTTATAATAATAATAAAATATATGATACGTTGTTCTAAAGCAAATATAATAATATTATTATATGCGCTATTATTTTTTTTATTATATCGTCTTAATTTATAAGTAACAACTATAAATATAATGAAATTTTAAATAACTATTATATGGCAATTCATATAGTCGTGGGGAACAATATCAAGTTTAACCGATCTGCAGTGAAAAAAAAATATATATATCTGTCATTTTATTTAAAGGAATTTTTGATAAAACGATTAAACAAATCTTTATAAGTATAATTCCACAGGAGTATTAACACATACATTCGAGTAATATATTATATAAATCTATTATACAAAACATGTGTGGGGTTCTACTTCCAGTGAAGTAGCCTCATTCTTAATCTAATAATTAGACTTAGTCGAATGACTTCAGTCGTTTGAGTCGTCTGATGTCTTGTGAGTTGTCGAGTTGTATGGCAGCGGTTTTTGTGTAAAGTTCCAGCCTTTTCCCGTTTTTGCGGGCAAACCGGGTAATTTCATCCTGCACGGATGTAATTTTTTAGGTCGCGGTGGATGATGTCGTTCTTATCATACAAAGTTGTTATTAGATTTATTGGCGCAAATTCACAGTTCAATACCGTACATCCAAATTGGTTTAACTAACGAAACATACAGAAGACGTTTACTAGTTAGGCTTAGCTCGGAGTGTAGCCCAACTAACCAATACAGATTGCGCATTTTTTCTTTGATTTGCAGCTTTTTCTGGCGTACATGATGTTTCCAGTTAGGTCGGGAGTCAAGGTGCATTCCCTGATATTTTGCTGAATCATTTTGTGGGGTTATTATATGCCTTATGAATAAAAAAAAATCAAATATCACTATTATAAACACATTTTATTGCTTCTATAGTGATTTGTTATTCATATTTAATACTTTTACGATCTACAGAAACGCACCGAAGCGATTATCGAAAGGGGTTTTGAAAAGACCTATTCCTAATAACCTGTGATCGCTTTACACCACTATGTTTCACCCCCACGATGATTTGTTTTTAAAATTATTATCGCTAAATCATATTTTATTACATTTTCATAAACGGTTTTAAAATATTTCTCAATAACATTCATCCGTAAATTTCAAAAAACTAAACTAGGTCTACGATGGTTATGGCGGGTATAGGAGTTGTTAAAAGTCTGCATATTATCGGCGCAATCGAAAAGAGCACAATTTTATTTTAACTACCTGAAATCATGTAAGATCACACATATACTGGCATAGCCTAAAAAAGCACACCCCGTAGTTATGCGAGCAAATTGTTATCCGTTTATCTAAACCGTATATAATTAGTGTATAATATTCAATGATTAACAGATATTCTGATGTATTTTAGTAGAAAATAGTTCAAAATTGTTTCATTCATTCAACCAAAACACTTCAAATGCATTTCTAGTATTTCACTTTTTTTTCAACATTTTTAACTACAAACAAACTTTTCCAAACAAATTTCGGAAAACTCAATTTTTTAAACTATTCTACACGTTTTTTTTACGAATATCATACATTTTGTGGTTACCGATTACTGTACACATTAAACTTTTAAAATTCTAATAACATTTTTGATACCAAGTTATGACATTAAATCCGAGTCACCGCCACAGTTTCTTCGAATAATAACTAGTGTCCATTTAAAGAAATTTGAACCATCGGACACCGGTGGCCAACTAATCCGTCCTTCCTTCTGCGTTAGCCGCCGTGTCGGTGGACGGACGGGACACTCTCGGACGGCGAGACGACAGGATTGCCGTTCGCCGGTGGCCCGTACGACTTTGAAGACGGACCGCCGCCGCCGCCACCGTGCGGGCTGCCGTCGTGGTGAGGCGCTCGGACGGCGGGCGAGAGGGTCGGCCAACCCTTCAAGACGTTTCGCACGGAAATCGACGGGCCCGGCGGTGGACATATAGAAGTGGGGATCGGCCAGGCGGCGGGGACACGTGTAGTGGGCGGGGGACGAAGGGTGACGATGAGGTAGAGGAAGTCGCGGCTGGTGAGAAGGAGGAGGAGGAAGTGGAAGAGGACGAAGGCGGTCGCATGCAAATACACACACACACACACACACACGCGCACATACAACTAGTTATGTTAAAACCGTCACATGCGGCTGCCCTCGGCACACGCTAACGTGCGTCTTCCGCAGACGGAGGTGTCTCGCCGGTGTACAGTCTCTTTTTCTCTCTCCCGTTTGTCCGTCGTTTTTCCACCACTTGTTATCAATTTCAACAGTAAATAATACATTTATTTTATTCGATTAGCGCGTGTGTGCGATCGTCTATCTGCGTGCGTGGGTGCTATTTTTTGCACGTGGCCATCGCATTCGTCTTAACAATGTTCCGCGTACAACGTTTGTTATCGTGCCGCCAGTGATTTCATCGCAACTCTATCTTCAACCGGTCAAAATATATTCGTTTGCAATACCCGAATTGAACAAAATGATTGACCGCCGTCCGGATTTAGAGGTGATCGACGTCTCTCGGAACGGGGTAAGCTCTCAAAATTATTGTACATTTTGTTGAACCAACAACTTTTTCCAAGACGGTCTTCCAAGCAGGTTAAAAAAAAAATTGACTATTTTAAAGCGCGGTTTTACTCGATAGAACTTTAATTATAATTTTTTTTTTTTTTTATAAAAAAAAAGTAGTGTGACTTATTTACTTATTTGGGATCGGAGCATTCGATCGTTAATTGAACTCTGGCCAACTTCAACAAGACTTACATTTTGCAGAAAATCTCCGTTTAAATATTAAGTGAGAATTTGTAGGTCTTTGTATAAATGAAAAAAATATTTGTTGAGTGTCACGAGTATCAAATCTTTTTTTTTACGCTCAAAAATTCGTTTTAAATTTACTACTTATTTTGTTCGTAAAAATAACACAGAAAAACACATAGTTGGTCCAACTAAAATTATGGTTAGTATAAGGACACAACAAATGTCTAGTTAGAATAAGTAAATAAAAGGTTGGACCAACAAAATTTTTAGTTAACGCAACTATACGGACCAAATATATGTTTAGTTATTCCAACTAGAAATTTGTTCTCTTTCTATAGTACCTATCCATATTTTTAGTCGAACCAGCTATATATTTTTCCTCGTGAATACATATTACGACTATAGGATTTAGAAAAGTGAATATTTTGTTTTAAAATATTAGAAAAATACTCAATTTTAAGTACGCTTTGAGAATATAAAATATAAGTTTTTTAATCGCACTAACAAATTTGTACCTACGTTGTTAAGCTAGGAAGTGATCGTATTGTATTTATTTTCTAAATTGTTTAAAACGATTAAATACGATCGATTTTTCGCATTTGATCGGTTTAAAATTAAAACTGTAACTTTGACGGTATTGTTCGATTGCCGCCGCTTGGAAAGCACACGTGAAAGTCAACACGCATTAAAGTCGATTCAAACATGTGAGCGTTTGTGTATATATAAGCGCGGCGGAACGGTGTTCGGTATATCGAGGGAGAGGGTTTCCCGCCAAAAAACCGATTAGACATCCCATAAAATAAACCACACAGACTACCATACATACTTTGTAGTTGACCCATTCTTATCAGATGTGTAATCTATCGCTAATTTCTATCAAATAAAATAGGTTTTATTAATTACATTATTGCTGTTAAACTATTGTAATAATTAAATATATTATATATATTTGAAGAGTGAAAATGTCAAACGTTCCAAGTGCCAAAGTATAAAAATTCAACTTTATAACTTGATTTGTATTTTATTCATTACCGGAAACACTTTAACATATTTTTGAGTTTTAAATATGATTGTTTTTTTTATAAATAACTGTTCTTTACTTGAAAAATTTACAAAATTGTTTCCGGTAATGAATATAATACAAACCAAATTATAAAGTACAATTTTTATACTTTGGCACTTGGAACGTTTGACACTTTCACTCTTCATTTATAATATACTGCTAGGAAATTATCATTTCAAATACGAATTTTGTTAAAAAGAATTGCACATGCGTGTAGCTATATACAATAAATTACACACTCATTATTTTTTAATTAGACACAATGTGTAACTTATTACTTTATAAAATTGTCATATTATATGATAAACAGGATACAAACTCAAACGTACATGGTTTACATGGTTTTAAAATATTTTTTATACTAAGCGAACGAATTTTCTTGAAGAGCTGCTGAGGAGATATAATGTATTCCATAAGGTTATAATTTGATGGCAAACGGAAGTAAAAAATAAATTTAAAGTCGATTCGGCTCCATTGGTTATCGCGCAAATTCAAGAAGGTGAAATTGAAATTATTTATCTTGAAACATTGAACATACAAACAATAAGTCTACTTAAAAATATCGTTTATTTTTTCAAAAACTATTATTTACAGTTCAATAAAGAAAAGAAACATTCGCCAGCAATCTAACACTTCATCTTAAATAAATGGCTTGTGAATTATTAAATGAATTATTAAGTGATTATTGATGTTGACAAGCTATATGTTTTTCCTCGCTTCATTAAAATAAAAAATTTTAAAATGTTGATTCTATCAAACAGTAATAAGTAGTTATTATATAATTATTGTTTTCTATTAATTTGTTGCCTTATGTAATTCTATTGATATTTATATTATAAACTAGGCATATTGTTAGCCTCTTTGTCATCTATCAATTCAGCAAAAACAATAATGTTCAACGTTTTACCTTAAAATCTTTTTATTTTTGACGGTTATGTGTGATTTTTTACTTTCGACTCTTAGAGTATTAATTGCATATAACAAATCAAATTCTTTTAAGTTTTATATCTAAAGTTTATTTTCATATTATCTAGTTAAATATTTTTATAAAAAGTTTTATAAATTTTTATATTTATTCTAGGTACTAAAATTGAGTAGATACTATATACTGTTTTGCGGCATGCATTCTCGATTGAATTTAATAATTAATATTCACAATTCTGTTTTTTCTAGTTGTTATGCCACTTAAGTTTCGTTTATAGCAGTGTTTAGAAAATGTGTTATCTTCAATATTATTCGTAGTAAAATGAATTATTATGGTAGATACAATTCAGACCATGCTAAAATATATATAATAATTATTACATAACCTATTTTCCAAAAAGAAAAACAGAAATACAAATATTATGATTTATGTATGATAGTACGTGGCATTAAAGTTAAATATGATTGAAAAATTACATTGAACAAATATTACTAAAATATACTTGTAAATCTTCAGACAGTGATCAAAATTTCTTCTAGGATAAATTAGTCGGTAAATTTTATTTTTGGGATCACGACTTATACACTTGTAATAAGTGTATATTTAAAAACGAGTAAACATTATATCCATCATTGGGTTTTCCAACGATTTTGATAATACAGTATGTCAGCATATCTACTTGACTTACAGTAAGTATGTACTTTTCTAATGTGTTCATAGAACACATTGTTAGGTATATTTTCACGGTCAGGTTAACTAACTATATTTATATTTCAGTATATTAAAATAAAAACTAATAACGTCAACGTTCATATTTACTAACTCTACAGATTGTTTGAGCAATTAAACCATAACGTTCGTTATTCAAGTGCAAAGGGCGCTTCGAATATATTTTTTTTTTAACACATTATATATTATAGGTCAACGTTGTTTGTCAAAATTAATACCCCCCAATATATATTTTAATACTTTAATTTTGGATCTATCATGTATACCTAGATACGGATTTAATTATTCATAATAATTAATAAACTATATCATCGGGTTGGTATACGCTCGCCTAGAACTTCTATACTTATCTACACCTACATTGTTTTAAAACCAGTTTTCAACCTTTAATAGTGTTGTTTACGAAAACGGTTAATAATAACCTACATTAGATATAGAATCATTATATTGTACTCACGTATAACTCCAGGCTATTATTATTTCTATTTTTCTTAAATAAATAATTAATTGATATCATGTATGTTCAATATTGTATAGCGAAACATAATAATGAACAGTTTATGTACTCATTTCACTTTTAACACAACAGTAATATATATTTTAGGCGGATTTTAATAAGATTTCGTTAAAAAGTTGTAATCACATAGCTTTCACATTCATTATCAATAACACTTTTATGTTTCATCGGTCCCTAAATATTATAGGTTCAAAAACTTATAACACATTAATTGTTTTCTAAATATTAAACAAATTTTACACTTATAATATTTGAACCAAATGCTCAGTTAAAATTAAGAAAAAAAATGTTTATATTTTTGTAATTGGAAGGGAGGAGGGTTGTAATGTTGGTATTTTAATGTCCTTTTTCTTATACAACACATCTATCATAGCGAGCGATTATGCTACAAACTGGTACATTTACAACGGTTAGGTAGTTTGTAGTTGTAATGGTAGTTTGGACAATCGACCAAACTAACTTTTCTGGTGGGTACTTTATAATATTTTGTTACAATGGTTCAATTATGCTCTCTTAACTGAAGTCTTTAAAGTGTTTAATAGAAAAATATAATCGTTACTAATGATTTTAGACACGTGTTTAAATTTAACGCATGTATGCGGTAGATAAGTGGTAATATTAGCAAACGTACGTGCATAGTATTATTTTATTACATAAATCGGTTGTTATCGCCCGGATGTCGACATGTAACCGAATCCCGATGAAAAAATAATACATAAATATATGCATATCTTATATTAGAGCATATTATATGATATACCTAACACTCGCCTTTCGTGTGCATATAGACCGTGCTAATGTATTATAATATCCTTCGTTAGCGTTATCGCCACAAGATTATTAACACAGTATATGTATATTATTTTTATATCATACTAATAATCAATGTTATTAATTAAAATTACCGATAAATCGCAACTGCTGGGACGTTAAACGGTAAAATCATTATCATATATTAAACTTATATTTTAATAATAATACATCGAACAGTGATTGGAGGTGAAGGAGGGCGGCGACGGTATGTCTTGAAAAGTGTGGACGGTAGGGCGCATGGCCGCCGCTCAGGTGTGCGCGATTCTGTAAAAGAAAAACGGCAAGACGGAGGAATAAGTATCAAAAAGCGACGGTGGAATAATAAAGGGCAACTAAAATAAAAATAAAAAAAAGAAACAAGAAAAAGAATCGGAGGGACGTGGCCGGGCGTGCGCGCCAAAGTCGAATGGGTGTTGCTGGAAAATAAAACTGGGCGTTGAGCGGTCGCGACGGGAGGAAGGGATGAACGAGGGGAAAGGAGAATAAACAAATATATGTACTTTTATATTATGCACATACACATATAACAATATAACCATCCGGAGAAGACGAAGAAAAAGAGCTTGTATAATTTTAATAGCTTTCATTAGTACGCGATCACATAAATATGTATATATATTATCTACATTTATAATATTACGTAGATATATAGGTAATACTTATATCATATATAATATATTACATATCTAAGTCTAGTAATACATACTAAGTCACATATCCGTTACACATTGAGCAAGGCATGGACGAAAAAATCAGTCTAAATTACATATAAGTCTTCTGACTGAAGCTCAAGTTCAAGTAATCGTGCAGATCCCATCAGCTCTATAAAGATATTTAATCTATCAATAGCCTTAAAAACCGTTCTTTAAATGTTTAGCTTAGTTTTCTGATTCACGGTCTGAGTTTAAGGATATCGAAAGGTCGAATCCGACCATTTTTTAAAGGGCTCAATAACTTTGTCGATATCCTATTAAAAGTGGTAGCTCATTTTCTTGGAGGGAAATGACTTTCTTTATAAGCCTTGTAGCCAAAAGGAAGACCAAAAGTAATTGTCGCGAGAACTGTGGTCAAGTACTTGTCCACCAACTAAGCATTTTTCATTGTTAACGAGGATGCCCACAGGTGAAAATTATGGGGGGACCGCCTATGATTTTGTAATGGATTTTTGGAATTTGGGGTATAATTTGTTTTAACTCAGAGGAGCTAAGGGGAAAGTTATCCTGTGGGCGCCCTTGATTGTTAGTGGAAATACATTTATTAGTATAAATAATAAAAGCTCTATTTTACTTCTGCAAGCACCGGAATTGAGTTAAATACAGTACAATAATTGGGGAAATGTCACACAAGCATTTTGGCAAACATTAATAATAATAATTATAACTTATATTATAGTGGCTAACCTATATGAAATGTTTTTATCGTTATTTAAGAATAATACAATTTAAATTTGAGAGTTCTTACTGTAGCATCTCGGTCGGTCTGAATATGGATGCTGGATACAACATTAGCCATTCATAAATAATAGTAAAAAGAAGTTCATAAAAAAATGAAATCTTAAAAAATCTAAGTTAATATGAAATGTATACTATATAATATATATAATTCAACTTAAACGTGTTAAGATAGTTTACCTGAGTTTTAAAAATATGTGTAAACCAAGTGACAAACAAGGCAATAGAGTTTGAAAAAAAAAATCGGTTATTTTACAGTGAATAAGCCTGCAAGAAATGCGATGCGTACAGATTAATAACAATGTATACAACCGCTTCAATATTGTTGGAATATTATTGTTTTTGCCAGCGATTAGTTACAATATATATTATAATGTCAATTTAAAATAAAACAATATTCTTGTATTTTGACTTCATTGGTAAAACGGTTTTTTACTGTCAACCCGAGAAACCATATAATCCGTTTATGTTCGGTACATGAGCTTAATGATTTATATAACAATCCGTCGCCCCTCAAACTAAACGATTACAAAACTACCAAGTCATTCCCGAGAGTTTACCCTGCACACTTATGGCGTTTGCTTAATCTGATGTTGTACCTCGTTTTCAAGAATTTCATACATAACATTATCCGCTAAGCGTTGGAATTTTTTTTTAATGCATTCTAGATTCGTTGCGAATTTGCCGTAGTGTACAAGCATTAACGAGGATTGATATTTCCTTTCATTACAAACCGTTATTACTGTACGTACCTACCAAAATACATGGATGTTCTTAAATTATTGTTATCGTGTTATTCGACTATTATTGTGTTCTCGAATACTACCATAAGATCGTATACTTGTGTCATAATACTTGCATGCTGAATTGTTATCGTTATAGGTTTGGAAGTAAATTTCGAATAAAGAGTCTTAAGCGGAAGTCTACACACGTATTATTTTATCATAATGTTTTTATTTGTGGTTTGAACAAAAGCGATATTATTTCATAAAGATTTTTTTTTATTTTAAAATTGTATACTTTTTCTGTTCGTACGATTTTTGATGTATGATTAACTTTGGAAAATTATCAATGCGATGTGACGTTCTGGCGCGTTATGTTTTTTCCGTATTGAATTATTTTTAAGTATTTGAATAACAAAACCAAGATTACCGAAACCTTGGAAACAATTTTCACGGCATAAAAAAGGGAAACCATATGACTATGCGAGTACATGTAAATATATAGTACGCTTGACAATATTCCTAATCATAACTCGACGTTGCAAACAGCGTGGTTGCTAGTGGAAATCATTTATTCTCGAGACTTAATATTAGATTAATTTAACACGTTTTCAATCGCAATCGAAAGTTGCAAATAATAAACCAAAATAGTCAGCTAATAAGTTCTTGAAGGGAATTTGTTTTAGTACCAAAACAATAAACATTAATATTTTTAGTGTACTTTCTAAATTTTGACGGGGTTAGTCGATAATTAATAAAAAATTATTCAAAAAACAAGAAACCTTTTCATTTTTGATTTAACGCTCTCATAATCACCGTCCAACTGTCACTTAGTGATCATAAATTAAATTCGTTTTTTTTTATTTAGTTAATTTTGTCAGTGCAACATATTATTGAGATTTGATGACAGTTTTTGAAGTAATATAGAATCCACTAAGGTTAACCAATTCATTAATAAAATATAAATTTACATATTGTCATCGTAGAAGACAAAATTTGTCATTCAATATTATTTCTTTTAAGTCATTCATGCGCTCCGTAGAATGATGATGACAATCTATTTGGCGTTGGGGCTTAATTAGTTGATATAACATTGAATAAATATAGGTAAAATTAACCGTCGGTAACAAGTCGTTGTTAATTATTTTGTGATTATTGAGGATCTATTTATTATAGTTTTGCTGGGACATTTTTATTTATTCGTATGGCTTAAAAATCAACATTACAGCAAATCTAAATATTTATAATGAAAAAAAAAAAAAAATTAATTAGTTAATTAAATTAACTTGAAAAGGTTATAAGGATATAATATAACATATGTAAATATATAATATAGTATAATGTAGCGTGAATAGTTAACAGTTGTACGTCCAGTTCCCTTATCCACTTTACTGCTTCCGGTGTTATTGCGTGGATTCCTTCGATACCCTGGTTGAATTTTCTTAAACATTAAAATGTCAATATAGCGTTTTGTATTTTTTTACACTGCTGTTATCAATGTGCATAAGGCATTATGCCTACAACAAGTTCATCATACCCTATTATATTTATGTATAGTGTGTACAATAGGAAAGTTTGTTGAAAATATCAAAAAAATTGCTAAAATAGTATATAATGTATGTGATTTCAACGCAAGCTCATAGAAATTGTTTGATCGCCATGTAACGATAATGGCATGTTTTTCCACTGCTGCCACCGACAAGGGAGAAATATTGTTTTATTTGTTTTAGACACCTTGACGCGTTTAAAAGCGTTACTGCGTGTCGCCTAATAGTAATAATATTAACGGGAAAGTTTACACAAGCATATATTATACATAATAATAATAATAATAATAATAATAATATACAGGTATTTATTATGCGTTCACATACGAAGATTTCCACAATAATAGCGTTGCGCAATCAGCACCACAGTAATATTATAATCGTTATTGTTGTATTAATTATTATTACATACTATACATTCATATTGTAGGAACAACGTTAAGTGATACTTAACTGCGCGACACACACTCCGAGACGCGTGTTGTTTGTCTCGGAAACACACGATTATCCGAACACATGTTATTGATGTTAGACTACAATATAATATTATTGTAATATTCTGCCTACATACCACGAAAACCTCTAAATTTAAACACCGCGTTACGTAAATTAGGTTGTACAATCGTTGGTAAAAACTAATGCTATACAATTATACGTTTTTATTCCAATGATATATTTAAAGTCCAAAATAATTTATTGATTTAACAAAAAATTTGGTATTATTCATTTGAAATAAGAGATAAAAAACTAATATGTTTAAGATAAATCCTCAATCAGCTGTCTACAATTAATATAATAAATATGTAACGGGTATACTGTAAAATCAGTAAAGAGTTAAATTAATAATTTATTAGTTAAATCAACAACGTTTTTTTTTACTTAGTCAGCGAGTACAATTAATACAACAATTTGTATATTATTGCGGGCGTACTTAGATAAAGATTTCGTTTCCAAACCATACAAATTAACGTAAATTTCTATTGAACACACAGGTTATTCGATTCAGTATACGGTATTGTTTTTCTACTAATCCGTTAAATTCTTAAGTATTATTATATTCTTAAATATGTTTTTTTAAGTACAATTTTACATTGAGGTACTTTTGTTTTTCTAACTTAGTAATACTACCGTTTTTTTTAACGTGTTGCCAAATCTTCAATCCTCTACTAATAGTTCTCCTCTAAATTGGTCATCTCGTTTATTGTATCATGATTATCATTCCACGCTTCCGCCTTCAGTCTTCAAGTATGGAATACAAATTGTTTTGGTCGTGCGTAGGCGATTGTTTGACTGACGGGGGCGCGAAAATATGTACATTTTTTTTAAAACGATCATCACAATGCATATTGACCGTTTTGTTCTGTCTGTGATTTTGTATAGTTAATAACTGAAATGGACACGCCTCAGTACAGTCTCCGGTGGAACAACCATCTGGTTCAAATGATGGACGCCATCGAAGTGCTTCTGCAGAACGAGACTCTCGTGGACGTGACGTTGGTTTGCGAAAAAACACAGTTCAAAGCCCACAAAGTCGTCCTGTCCGCTTGCAGGTAAACCCTGAAACGATAACACCTTTCCTAACCCAACTATGACGGCCTGTTAGGATTGTTAACATTGTATATTGTATTTCCTGTTCAAGCCCGTATTTCCAAAGGCTTTTCTCGGAAACGCCGTGCAAACATCCCGTAATCGTGCTTAAGGATTTGCCAGACTGGGAAATGAGAGCCATCATACACTTCATGTACAAAGGAGAGATAAACGTAGGCCAGGAACAGTTGCCACTGCTGTTACAAGCCGCCGAAACGTTACAAGTACGTGAACGTTTTATTACTATAAAACTGTAAAAAAAAAAACCCAAACAAGCATCCACAACATGTATATTACTTCCTTCGGGCAAATCTTACTTGACCTCATATTTTATTTTTATTCTACAATTCGAAGAGGGCAATGCAACATTCTTCCAAAGAGAACCTACCCTTTTGAAAAGATTAAACGAGCCATTAAATAAGTACAAACTAGTAGACATATTTTGATACCTTTGATATCTCAAAAACTATAATCTATTAAATAACTTCAAAATGTATTGCTATGGTTTTCTTCAATGATTTATTCATATATTTGTCATCGAATACGAAATTACTTTTTTCTGTTTTTGTCTAAACGAGATGTCGCAAACTTCCTGATAATCCCAGCGTCCATCTCTCAATCATATGAACATTTAAGCTTTAAACTAACATTAGTTTTTTTTTATAGTTGAACTAAACAATTTCAATAGTGTTCAGAGGACTCAACCCGCTAGTAAAATAGTGTTAAAACGGTATTTAATACTGTAGAGGATGTGATAAAACTAAATTCGCCAAGTTTTTTTATAAAAAAAAAATATAGAGGATATACGCTTGGCAATATTAAGGTAGCAATATTTTGATAGAACGGGCAGCGTTTTTTATTATGCAATTTCAAATTTTAGGTATTTTAGTATTTTTTAATAAATTAACTAAAGTGGGATGGAGTGGCCGAGTGGACTAAGGTGAACTGTCTAGGGAAAGATGCCACCATCCCCCCACCAAAAACTTGGCAGAAACCTACGGGTGATCAGCCCATTCTATTAAGCAGGCGTCCGAACTAGGCCTTCATGCCTACACCCGGACATTTACGTTATACGAAAAAAAAAAATAGCTCAAATTAGCGGATTGAGTTATCGAAAATTTAAAAAAGCTTAACTGCAGATAAAGTTTTTCACTAAATGCATAATCTAAAAATGTGGCGATTTATCAACAATTCCAAGACACTTTGGTTTTGTATCGCGCAAAACTATTTTGAATTATAATTTGTCCATAGAAATGACTGTGATAGTCTGACAGCATAATAATAACCAATAAATAAGTGTAATTACTATATTAACACGTATACTATACATAGTTTAAGATCTAAAAATATCCAAAATTAAAGCGAGGACTGAGGTCTTGCGCCGTTTATCTAGTGATTTATCTAATTTATCCGATTTACTATTGGTCTAATCTATCTAAAAAAAAAAATGACTTTACACATCTTATAATATTCATACAGCTATTATTTACAAGATAATATGATCTATATTACAATAATACAATATCTAATTAAAGAAGTGCCACTTGGTTTTGTAGATTCGAGGTCTTGCCCATACTGAGCGCATTCCGTTGTTCATCGACTCGCCCACCCCGTCGCTAACAACGCCAACAGAAGTCCAACATCCGCCACCGCCGCCGCCGCCGCCGCCACCACCACCGCCGCCGCCGTCTCAGTCACATCACCACGGGCACAATTACCACGGTCATCATCACCATCATTCCAGGGGCCACAGTCCCAAATCCAACGCCGAGTTAGTAAACGGACAGAGTTCGCCGGGCAAAAGCGGTCACCATCACCATCATCACCATCACCGGCACCGCACCGATTCCCCGCAAAGTCCTCGGAACAAACAGCACCGGCAACCGTCTCCTCAACAACTTCCACGTCACCACCGCGAGGGATCGGCCGGCCGCATGTCCCCGACAACCCGTATGTTCTTCCAAGCTGCTGCTGCGGCGGCGGCGGTGGCTGCGGCTTCGTCCAATCCTTACGAACAGTCGCACGTCCGGCTACCACAAATACCGCACCTCCCACCAATCACGTTCAACGATAGAAACTGCCCGTCGCCTACCCCTCGAAGGAAACAGGTAAGCTATTTTATTTGTTTTATAGTTTACAAATTGATACTCATATAGTATCGTTTTAATTTTGTCATTTATGAGTTAAATTAAATTAATCCGTTGTGGTCATCGGGTGATCAGTGATCACTTTTACGTTAGTTGTCGTATAATTCTTTATTTAAGCAGCTAATGGTGGGTTGCATAAACGTTCGTTAAAGGTTTAGTGAATCAATAGATGTTAAGTGGTTCCTTAAACATAATTTAATGGCCCGTGATGGGTTCATTAAATGTATTTTGCATTAAATTTATTTATTTATCTTGTGCAGGCTGAAATAAGTCTTTATGTAAGTATACTGAACAGATTCGACGTTGATTGTGACGTACATTTTTTGTACACGTTTGATAATTCGTAAAACACTGGAATAAAATGATTTTTAAGCAGTTTCTTATTTAACTATTTGAATATAGATTGGTCCCTATATAACGTACTATGTATATATTATGCATTCAGTACAATTTGTATAACAGGAAGTATTATTGCGATATTAATGTTGTTATATTTTGACAATATTGACATTTAATATAATTTCAGTATTTTAGAATTATTTATATTTTCTTTGGAGATAAAAAAAACCATTTACCTCTTATGCGGCTTTAATAGTAATAGAAGTAATTATTAAAAACAATTTAGAATTTTGAAAAGTTACTATTATAAATATTGTTTATAACATTACCTCCTTCGTTCGGTATACCCTGAAATGATTGTCTTACTCGATTCTAGACTTCGGTGTACCTATTTTGCCTACACGCGTGCGCCGGGAATGGAATGATAATAATTGTGTTTTATTTATATTTCATTTCTGACGAAGTCTTAGTAAAACGTTCTACACTTACAGGCTAGACCGAGGAGACGATCTGGTGAAGCGATTGGTCCCCAAGATTTAAGTAAAGCCCCATCACCTTCGAATTATTACAACAATATTGCTGAAAATTTGTCTATGAAAAAATCACCCAATAACGAAGATAGCAACAACGAAAATACACCTACAAATTGGAGCTGTAACCAAAAAAAGCAAGTCAGAACACCGTCTCCGCCAACCAATGTGAGTTTTAAAGTTGTTATACACTCCAAATGTGTAATGGTTGACAAAAAAATAAATTATATATTTTAACAACAAGAGGTTGCGTTACCTATTTCAGTTATTTTCCCTTTAGGTCTAACATAGTTAAATAAATGTGATATCTAAGTCATTTTCTTCTTCTTTTTCACATTATCTCATGCAAATGGAGGTGAATAGCCAAAGTATATACTCTCCGAGGAATGTTGAAAATTATATAAGTATATTATATCATACGTGAAAAAACCATTAAATTCTGTAAAATAATTTATTATTCGAATGTATAAAGTTTACTTCCCCAAATGAATTAAATGGCTAATGCACAATATACATTTTATAAAAATGTATTTTATAACGCATTAAGGATTCTTTTTGTCGCTCATTTACTTTAATGTAAATAAGCGACCTCCTTGTAACAAACAAGGCTCAATGTATAAACATACAATGCATCGTTTTCAAATTTAAACACCCCTAATTTGGTTTTTTTTTTTTTTTTACAGAAGCAAATGAAAGTCGAGGTAGAAGAATCAGAACAGATTGCAGACTTGGGACAGAGTCAGCCGGTGGAGCTGACTGCCGACCGAAACAATCCGAACGTAAACAACAATAATAACGTGCAGCCTAGTAATAAAAAGAACCACCATCACCATCATCTTAACCATCAGCAACAGCAGCAGAGGCACCCGGACTTTCCTTTTTACGGTTCTGATCCCATGAGCATACCGCTTAATCCACACGTGAGTATTGCACACAGTCTTCTCCTTTCGGTATTTCTCTTTTTGTTTTTCACCCCTATATTCTCCGCGGGGAGTCGTCGGTAATGGTTAGCCGCCGGTGTGCTTATTTCGTTTTGGAAATTAATGCATCATCAGGAGTAATATTAATATCCAAAGCAAAGAAATAACATTACTTCTGGTAAAGCAAAAAAGTGAAAAACATTAGCACGTGATACTACGATCCCTCAAACGAAAATAAAATACAATATTGAGTATTTCTTTTTTTATAAATAGCAGTTTACAAAATAATGTAACTAAAATATGTAACTGATATTGTCGTATTAAATTAAAAAAAAAACATTTTTCTAAAATAATAATAGTAAACACAAATAAAACAGTTAAAAAAAAAACATTTTTAATAATCTTATCAAATACATGTTAGATAACAATATACAGTTTGTTTTTTTACGCTAGTTAATAATTAACTATGTTAATTTTATACGCCAGAACATATTCTATGCGTACTTGTAGTTAACCTATTCTTTAACAATGAAATTTTGTTTTTATCTACAGGACCCGCATTTTGAAAACTCTTTGTTTCCCCCGTTCGGGCCGTTGTCTTCGCTGTCTCTACAAGGACCTCCACACAGTAAGTTAAAATATGATAACCATTATAACGTGTGTTATATTAAGTAAACATAAGTGATTATGCTCCCGTGAGCAAATTCGACCTTAATAATTGTGTTGACAGCTGAACGAAGGCCGTCATTCTTACTTAGCGAATTCGAAATTAAATTTATAATTTAACTAGTCTTAAGCACCCTTTAATCGAGTTAACTAAAAGTTTATTTTACAAAAATTGGCGTGCAGATTTTTTATTTAGGCATCGTTTTGAAACATAAGGGCTATATTTTTAGGTGATTTAAAGGTTCAAGATGATTTCACCTGAAAACAAGACTAAAGAAAAATTATTAAAATTAATTATAAGCTATCAGAAAATATGATAAAATTAAGCCCAAAAATCCCGTTTTTTTAAATACAATTTTGGTGGACATACAAACTTAAAACACTTAAGTGGGCGTACAGCGTTCGTTTTATACATGTATCAAATAAAATGTATAGTTTGTTTTCTCAACTATTAATTACACCCGAGTGAAATTGTATTAGTTTTGTTGAAACGTAATACATTTAAGCACAAACTCATTTTGCATATTATTGTAGTGACTGACGAACGTTTAACTGTAATTTCTTTATTATAATGCATTATGATATACAATCTTTAACTAACAGCTAGGTATTAGAACGCCCCAGTTTATATAAATATTTTCTTAAAATAAAAATCCAATTCTTTAACTAGTAACACTGTAATAACTTTCACATCAAATAAAGCATTGGTATAATTGGTCTTAAACCAAATTAGAAAAACAACAATCTAATTATTTGTATTTTATTTGTTTCTATTATAGTGTTTCCGATAGATGGTCAATTTGGTAAGACAATTATCTCTTTTATTATTCGTGTTGATTGTATTAATTATTTAAAAACGTAGTAATTGATTTTTATTTTAGGCGTTGTGAATAGGTAATTTATTTGCATGCATGTAGTACTTATAATACTATAAACGTCAACGCCTGGGACTGGGTCTCTACACTAGCATTTATTAATAAATTTGTATAAGCAATTTTTCAATAAAACTTAACATTAAGCTAAAATTTGTAAATTCATTTAATAACAGAAAATAAGTATGTATTTTGACATCTAATGTTTTTTCCGACGTTTATAAGGCATACAGGACTTATTTTTATACAAAAACATATTATGCATCTACCTCTAACAATACGTTCATAAAAATACATAATAATGAGTTTTGAAAAAAACATAAATTCTTTATAACATTTACAAGACATCGACCGCTGCACAATATTTTTAATTGTTTTTAGTTACTGAAAAATTTAAATTATTTAAGTTAAAGGACGCCTTAAACTATCACCGCTGCTGTATGGATGTTTTAAGACTATTTAGTTTATACGAGATGATAAATAAGAAAATGAAACTGATTAATTAACAATTTACTGAGCAGAAATAGTAAAGACAAGAAACTGATTTCTATACTATAATTTGCATTTTTTTTTTAAATTTTCTTAGTATTTCATAGTATTTTGTTTGGTTCGCAGGTTTGTTTCCCGGTCTAGACGGCTGTAGAAACCCGCTACTGAACGATTTGATCGAGCCTAGGTTCGACAACCCGCCGCCGAGCAAAAAGAAAAGTAATAATAAACTGGCATTGACTATTTTTTTACTATACTATAATTATTTAGAGAATGTATTTGATGACTAAACGCCAACTTGCGGTATTTACAGAAAAAATGTTTCCCGTCGGACGACCAAAAGGCCAACACAGTGCGCCCCGGGGTGGTCCTCCTAGGTCTTGGACTAACGCAGAGTTGACCGAAGCACTTCAGCACGTTTGGAACAAGAAGATGACAACGTCGCAAGCTTCGAGGATATTCGGCATTCCGTATAACAGTCTGTTGATGTACGTGAGGGGCAAGTACGGCAAGTCTCTGAAGTTAGAGCAGTTGAAAAAAGAATGTTTCGGCGACATCAACGGACCGCTAGACCTGTTACACTTTGGATCGATATCAAACAACAACAACAGCAGTAACAAGAACAATAACAACAACAGCAACAACAACAACAACAACAACAATAACAACAGTGGCAGCAACGGCGGTGGTGGAAGCAACAACGGTACGGCCAACAACGGTAACGGGGCGGGCGCCAACAACGGCGGTAATGGACAATCGGTGACGTCGCATAACCCACCGCCAGAGCCCGCCGACCTGATGCTCGGGCCTCCCGGATTCAACCCACCATCCTTTCCCGCACCCAACTTCTTCCCAGACTTCGGATCCACGTTCCCGATGGGCATGGACATGATACACCTGATGCAGCAGCAACACCACCAGCAACAACAACACCACATGTCGCTATCGATGGACAAGCCGTACGGCGGCCTGGATATGGTCGGACAACAACAGCCGGGTGTAGCTTTGGACTACGCCATGAAGTCGCCGGCGGCCAGTCGCAGCAACTCAGAACCGCCGACAATGGGCGACGACGACGAGGACGAAGACGACGACGGCGTCATCAGCGGCGAAGACGGTGTCGGCGGAATCGACGGCGTCAGCGGTAGCGGCGGCCAGGGCGGAGGCGCCGACGACGACGACGATGACGACGAAGATGATGAGGACGAAGACGAAGCGGTGGCCATGGACTTCTCCAAGGCCGCGGACGAAGACGACGAAAGACTGAGTCCGGAAGTGGATGACAAAGACAAAGAGCAAGACTGACACGGGGTGTTCAGGGACTTTGCGCTGGCGTTCGACACGGTACTTCAAACTTAAATCCGGTGTTATCCATCCCCAGCCTCACAACCCGTCCACCGTTTAATACTTCCCCCCACCCTCCGACGTGCGTGTACCTTATTTGTATTTCTAATAATTATTATTATTATCATTAAGCGAAATTTGTTCGGTTACGTACGCATAGCGAAACGTCCGAAAGGTCTCGTGTAAATATAGTAATTGTGTAAAAAAATATAATAATAATAATTTAAAAAAAAATGTATATTAAATATTATACAATATACATATTTATATTATGATATAATATAAACTAATAACTACAGCTAGCGAATACATACAAAGAAACTTGTAAACAGTTTAAAAACAATACTGATCATGTAAATAATTTAGAGAATTTCGAAAAATAACAATTGTACATTTTAGAACAAACCGTAGCCATTTCTATATAATATGAATATTAAAATATTGTTCCGAAACGATTCAACAGTTCTGTCTGACAAACGAATCAAAACGTTACATTTACCTATATGCAGCCGAACACATAATGGTGTCTACATACAGTTCCTAATTTTTAGTTACAGTATTTTTAATATTATTTTTATTTTTTAGTTAAAAATCGTGTGCATACTTCTGTGAAACTGTGATTCCTAACACAAACAGTGGCTTTAGGTTTTACTGGATTGCGTACGATTAATTTTAATCATAACTGTTATTTACCTCGGTATTAACACAATATAACTGTCAAATTACAGATAATTGGTTCCTTGTGCATAAGGCCACTCACAAATAATTTTTTTTTATAGTTCCTCAACGATCGCCATTTTTTTGTTTTAATTATTCTGAGCCATAAAAGCGCAATAACGTTAGTACAATTCGATCGGGAAATTAAAATAATATACCTCCACAAACATATAATATTCACTTTTACTTTTATAAACAATTATTATTATTATTATTATTATTATATAATTCATTCGGCAGTTAAATTACTTCATTAACAAAAAAAAAAAATAACGGTGAAATAATAGATACAAATGTATTAAAATGTGGTGTATTGTATTTGTGATAAGTCATGACATACAAATATGTACCATGCTACCGTAATACATAAAATAATTTCTCATATTATTATTTATTACATAAATATTTAGCGAAATACACTGATGCAGGGTAAAACATATAAAACGTTTATAATACAATACAGGTGTACCTCTACATATGCATAATAATAATAATAATAATAATAATAGCAGAACATGTTATAATATTATTTATTCTTATCTGTCAATCATAAACCAAAACGTTGTATTATTTAAAACAATTAATCATTACTAATGTATCGTATTATTTTATATAGTAATAATAATATGTACATGTATTTAAATTATTATGATGTTTAATTGATACATTAATCTGTTATACAATTGTAAAAAAGGCGCGTGTGTATTAAAAAAAAAGAAAAAAAAAACATTATGAATAATGTGTGTTACTCGAGTGCAATGTATTCATTTTCATGGTGATTTATTATGTTACCTCTTATACGATAAAAATAGTAAATGTCTTAAGTTAATTTTTAAGTTGCAATTTAACTTTTTGTTTATTTATTTATTATTATTCGGTTTTTTTTTGTTCCTTAAGGCTGTGTATCTATTCCGTATCGTATTTTTATGTGTACAAAGAATTGAAAAAGAAAACTAAAAAATACAATTAATACAAAATAAATAAGGAAAATTACACTTTTTATTAAATATCTCTTATCTACTAAAACTATAATATTTAATGGTATGACATTGTGGTGCAGCATTTCAGGGCATTATACCAGTTTATGTACCGTTTATCGTTAGAAAATAATTTACTATATTTTATATAAATTCTCTAATACAAATATTTAATATAAATATATATATATAGTTAAGTTGCATTACGTCCGAATAGGTTATATTATAATCTACTTTAAAATTTTTTTTTTTTCGTTTTGTTTTTATAATGTACGTGTAAATTGATTGAACAAAAAAGTTGTATTGTTAATAATTTAGAAACTAGAAGTATAGGTTAACGAATATATAATAATATTATTATTTAATAATAAGTTACGAAAACTTACCGTTTATTTCTTTCTATATTATTTTGTATTATTTACGTGCGTGTGTTATTATATTTATTATTTATTATTATTATTATTTTTGTGACATCGAAGAATGACATTGTTAAGTTGATTATTTGGTATTGGTTCCTGTTATGATTTTATCATTTAAGCTATTTAACAAAATTATAATTTAATTGTTTTAATTTTTTTTTTATTTTAGTCTTGTCGATTGAACATAAGAATTATTACGTCGTTTAATTAATTATTGTAATTTAATTTTTAAATAAATGAATGCGCAAGTTCATTTATACTAATTATTATTACTATTATTATTATTATTATCATTATTTTATTATTACTATTATTATTATTATTTATTGTGTAAATCGCGAAGTCGACGAATAGAAGATATATTGTTTGAAACGAATAATTATGTGTTATACGATTCGCGAATAATAATAAATAAAATATATCAATCGTAAATAAATTAAAACGTTTTACTTCTTTCAAAAACAGTTGTAACAAATGCTATATAGAGTAGTTTGTCATAACTTATATTATTATGCTACTGATGAAATTGAATTAAATGTATAATATTTATGTACAAAAAAAATTATCATACACACACATAAAATATACTCTTATCGAGTCTCGACACAGTCGGCTATATTATTTTTCCAATTAAATCTGGTATAATTTATAAACATGAGCCTGATTATAATCACACAGAGCATTTTCATTGTTAAATCAACCCCAATTCCATAAATATTACGTTTTCTTAATCTATGGGTATTAAACAATTTAAATTGTTAACTTTTATGAATTTAAGTTATAAATATATAGATTTAATTTGTATAAACTTGAATTATCAGTTTGTCATTACTTTTTGGTCGAACACAAATAGAAATTGACGTTGATACATAATATTGAAAAGCATATTTATAATTTGTTAGTTTCATGTTTGCACTTAATATACCACTTCTTCTTCTCTGGTTTTTGGAAATTTCCTCCTGCCAATGGATAATATCTACTTACAGATGTTTTACACATACTGGTGTATACAGTTTTTAATTATGACTCATTTTGCAATAATATTGATATGCACTACATTACCTCTTATGTATCGCAATATTTCCCCTAAATTATGAAACCCGAATATTTGTAATACATAGACATGAAATGTAATTTAAAAAAAAGGATAGGTGTACAAAAGTATTTATGATATCTAAATTTTGTTTTCGTTGATCGTTTTGGAGCATTTTGTTTCTTCGTACTGATAAAACTTGTAGGTATTTATATACGTATTTTGTTATGCAAAGAAAAATATTAGGAGTTTGAGTAGGCATTTTGTCCAAAACTTAATATTTTATGCGTTATTGTGTTTTGTGTAGATATTATTTTAATAAACTGTTTTCAAACATACTATACAAAGAGTCACGGTATTCAATAATATTTTAAATAAGAAAAAAACCGTTCAATGCCAGTTTAAATAATATAATGTACATTTGGTTACCCATTTTTCAGTCTCTTTAGAAATAGCGTAACACACTCCTTGATCTATAAATGGGTCATTTCAACGAAAAGGGGTACATTTGTTTCCATAGCCAATCTTGATAGATAATCATTATTTTTGGCATAACTCAAAATTGTCCATTTAAAGTATACTCAGGTAAACAAAATATGTAAATCAGAATTACTAATATGCTCAAAGGACATAGGTAATAAAAACTAAACTTAACTTTTTTCAGCCGATTCTGCAACTACGAAAGAGCATTTTCATGTATCTAAGGTGGCTAGTAAACATATCAAGTTTCTGGCTAATATTTTAGTGTTTAATATCTGTCTTAAAACAATTCATAGAGAATTTGGGCTCTTAAACTATATTGAATTTACCATTTAGTTCTTATTTGAACGTACAACATATCTCTTATCTCTTATCAGATAATAGCGTAATGCTTTTTTGGTAACACTTTTTTCGGTTATGTGCCAGAGCTAAAACATCCCCATCCCCATTACCACCCCCAACTCTATTCCTACCCTCTATTCAAAATCAATTTTCTCTTTGTTCTATACCGATCGAATATATTCATCTTTCTCTAACGCCATTGCCTTCATGTGGGGATACCCATTGCATCCAGTCATTTTAATAATTTCTCCTATGAACGTCTTCCTCCTTTTATATATGCATTGACTCTTCCTTCTGTTATGTTGGTTATGATGAGGTTACGTTTTAATAATAACACAAGTTTCTAATAAGTTTTCCGACTCTTGATCGTATAACAGATAGCAACACTTTCTGCTCTCCTAATATTTGGAATATCTGCATTGCTCTTCTTTTCAATCCCACTAATAATCGTCTCTAGGTACAGATTCCTCTTGTTTCTAGTTTGATTTTATCTTGTACGGTCTAGGTACAAGGTCTTGTAAGGTTTAGGTTTCATAACCATACAGCAAAATACTCCTTACTCCAGCTTCTGGCAAAGTTTTTTCTAGTCTTTGGACTAAGATTTTTGAGCAGTTGTCTTGTTTGTGTGAACGCTTCTTATGCCATGGCTATTCGGTGTCTTATTTCTACCGGACATCTGTTGTTACCAGTTGGTATGCTCCCAAATATGTATACTGTTGTACCTGATTAATCACTTGGTTATTTAATTGTATGCAAGGAGGACCCTGTTCTCCTTACTCACTGCTTTGGCTTTTTCTTCTTTATATTTATCTTCATTAGGTAGCATTTTAGTATTTCATTAGTGATTGTTGCATCTTTCACTTTCTCTGTTATTGTATTGTCATCAGCAAAATTGATACAATGGATTACCTCCCATTTATTTTTACATATTTACAACTTTAATTTTTGAGTTCCTTAAAAACTTCTTTCATATATATATTAAATAAGTTTGGTGACAAAGAACAGCTCTTCTGCGGATTTTGGCTGTGGATATGTGGTCTCCTACTCTTACCACAGTTTCTTGATCTTTGTACAGTCGCATAATAATTCTCCTATCTCTCCAGTCCAGTCCAGTCCAGTTCTTTTCAACGTGGTCATCAACCTGTTCATGTCTTCTTTCTGCAAGCGTACTTAAACCTAAAATAGCTTCACTGGTTCCTATTCCTTGCCTAAATCTAAACTGATCACCCAAATTCTCTTCCGTTCTATATATAATGGTTAAAAGTATTTTTAAAGCACGAGGAGGTAAGGAGGATGATGGTTCTATAGTTGCCGCATTCTGTAGGATTTCCTTAATTGGGAATGATTATATTATATCGATAAATTTGTTTCTACTATTTTAAATGAAATACCCTCATCAATTTCTTAATCCACAAATTGTATACAGTCTATTCCTGTGGCTCTATTCAGTTTTAGGTCATAGATTGCTGATGAATTTGCTTTTTACTATCCTGGGTCCTACTTCATCTTCTTCGATGTGGTGCACTTTTTCTATTTCAATGTAATTACTTGATGCTGTATGGTTTTCTTCATAAAAGTCCTCTAAATATTCCTTCCGTCTCATCATTACTTCTTTTTCGCCCATTAGAATTTCTCCATCTTTATTTTTACTAGGTAAATATTCAATATTGCTATAATTCTTCTAAATTACTTAATCTAAACTAAACAAAAATTTAATTTAATTTGAATGTATTATTTACCTAAGCTTGCAAAGTAAATAATATGTTGTAATAATGAATTCCCCGTCTCGTGGGCCGTGGCATTGTTTATGGTGTCATAGATTAAATGACAGGATAGGTACCACGTGAACAATAATAAGTAGTAATCATTTAATTGATATTTACATAAAATATGTCACCATAACATTTTTATTTATAGAAATATTACATAAACATAGGGACAGTAAACGACAGGACAGTATAATTATAGATAATCTTCGTCCTTGGTGGAATTCTAGTGTACACACATAATGTTTATGGAGAATTTGCGTTTTCGAACGGAGAACGCATGTTTACCACATTAAAAAAATAATTAAATAATCGATTACAATATTAAAGTGTTATGTTTTTTTTTGTTTTTTTTAGATCAAGAGGAGCAATTTATCACAATAATGCCGCTATAACTTACACGTCTTATTATATTTAACACATCATTTCCGATCATTCTATTTTTGTACAATGTGTGTTTTTTAGTTTTGTAATTAATAATTTACTCGATAATGTGCTATTTTGGAAACTCATTTTTAAATCAACATTTCGGGCAAAAATTTCAATTATTATACGATAAATTATTTTTGTAAATACACTATAATGCGCATTCGCCATTCAACATAAGAAACATGTTGCTAAAACTGTACAGATTATTATTTTTTTATCTGTAAACAAAAATGCAATGTTTATTTGTATTTCAGGGCGGACATCAATTGATGTGTAATTTGTTTTGCAAAACTTGCAAATATCATTTTTTTATCCGTCAGCAAATCGTATTGTAACAATAATCGATACAATAACATCGTATGAATTTAAAAAACTAACGCAGCGACAGTCCACGTAACACGTTGATAGTCCGGCCAACACAATCCCACGGTTTGTTGCCATTTGTGTATACTTCTCGCATAGTATGTAGGTATGTTGTTGATAAGTAGAAGAGTTGAACGACATCAGTGTTCATCGGGGACACTGCACGTGGTAATGGTAGCTAACGTGCAAACTGATGAACTAGACGCCATGGCCAGGTGGGAAAGAGATATAATTTATAATTAAGAAGACGAAAAATGATTTTGCGGGGGACAAGTATGTAAGGGTTGAATTTACAGTAACTGTATAAATTGTTTACAATGGCTAGCGAAGAAAATTATCTACGCCGTAACGTTTTTCATAACCTAAACACAATCAAAATTATTATTCGTAAAGATTCATCAGCTTTTTTCTAATTTATTTATAAAAAATATTAAGTACAGATATCAAAAAATAAAAAAGCTACGATAAAGTTCATCTCTATACATTTTGAAAATTTGGTTAATCTACTGTTAACATTGGTCTCACATACTTGTCCCGCGCAAAGCAGTTTTGATGGAGAAAAAGCTGTAATTTATCCTACAGAAATGACTG